GACAGTGGTTGTGAACAACAGATTGTGTCAATAAGGAGATGTTAATGAGAAGTTCTATCTCTTGCAGATATTGAACTGTTGGCAATTAGTTTTAATCATATTTACCCTGGGGGTTCAGCAGTGTTGTTTGTGCCACTGTTTACATTCCACCTTCTGCTCTTGCCAACAAATGGATGTGTTTTGTCATCAGTTCCGTTGTTCGGTTCTGACAGGATGTTAACTCCGTTGTCAGAGTGGTTTCGGTCACATGCCTCATTGAAATGGGAGTCAGGTGAGGGCAGGTGAGAGGTGACTCTTCTGGGTGGTGTAATCCTTTAGAACCCCCTAACAACCAGTAACACCCCCGGGTGACCTCAATGACCAATTCGTTAGGCCAAACCTTTTGTTTTTCCTCTAATTCTTTGCTACACCTACAGTATACTAGTCTCAGTGCTCCCCACCATCAGTTAGAAATAAGGAAGCCTCTTGGATGAGATGTGAAACGTTTTCTAGAGAACTTGACGTCCAGTTGCTTAAAATTAACTTTTCAACCTTGATCATGACTTGGATGACTGAGAATCTTCACAGATATTTTAGCTTACGAATTTCTTCTGTAGAAAAAAACATGTTCAAATATGTAGTAGATACTTCCCTATACTGTATTATAGCAATTTAAATATGTATAAACTAAGCTATAGTATAATTTTACCAGGCACTTAAACTGTAATAAGTGTCTTATCTTACTTATGAGCGACTTTGTTACCTTTTTTAAAGGAAAAATCAGGTAACATTTAGAATACAACCTTCTGAAAATACTCTTAAGTATGAAATTATAACATACTTTTTAATAAATGATAAGTGTTTTTAATTAAGAGTAATTTCATTTGAATATGCTTTACAGAAGACATCCATGTTTGTCAAAGAGCCCTACTACCACCTACCGGTTTATGACATCATGGTGCAGTATCGGCTGTTGAGCAAGTCCCAGTGCTGTATCTGGTGTTGGTCACAATGCGCTATTATCCATGATGATGACGAGCAGATGAGTTACGGATTAAACTGCCGTTGGTATTATGCAACTGCACAATCATCTCATACTTTACTTGAATACATACGGTTAAACTGTCTCTAATTTAGTGTGATGAAGACAGACAGACGTCTAACTTGAGGAGCATATTGCCAAGCTTCACATCACATTGTTGATTAACAGACATCATGTGAAAACCCTACTTAAAATGTCGACAACATGTCCCTGATGGTCTAATGGTAAGGATTCAGCGCTTTCATTGCTGTGGCCTGGGTTTGATTCCCGGTCAGGGAATTCATGATGTGTCATCAACTGGTTGCTTGATGTAGAGCTTTAGTACTCTACGCTAACATGAATGGTGTTTCAGCTCTACTCAGTGGGAAAGTATGTTAGTGGATCTTAATGATGTGTTTTTTCTCTGGCCAGAAGTCCGATGGCAAATTCTCCCTTTTTAAGTTGGCAATCCAATGACGAACGTGTGGTGGATTATGAATTGGAAAGGTGAAATAGCAAATTTTGTTTTACTTTTACCCAATGTATTACAACATCCAACTGCCATGCACGTGGGCATTGTCAGTTTAAGTATTGATGTCGCGATGGTGAACTCCTCTCAAAATCTTAAATTGTTTTTGTTGATTGCAGATGTGTCTAATAGTTCCAGTGATTTTGCTTGTAAAGCAGGGAAAATGGAGGTCAGGGAATGATCTGTTTCCCTGACCTGGCTCGGAATCCTGCCTGTTCGTCAGAGGCTGCTGCATCAGGGACACTCTGGGCGTCTTCACGCCGCATCTTGTTTGGCAGTCTACCGCCGTCCTCTGAAAGGATGGACTGAACTGTTAAACCAGCTAAATGACCCACATGGATAATCATCTTCTGTTAGATTATGGTGGTCACTTACCTGTGTTTCTCCTTCTCCCAGAATGCCAGTGATGGGTGGAGCACC